CATTTGCCCATTTCATTCCCTTTTCAATGTGAACCCGACATTTTATCGAAATAAGAGGATTCCTTAAGTCCTACGATATAATATTTATAAACTTCATTCCATTTTATTTCTTTTTTCTTTCACATTTTCTCTTTAAACTTGTTCGGATTGATACCTGCTGCTGATTTTCACCACCGTACAACCCGCCACAAACTAAAGTTTCATCCCAACTATCTGGACGAGTGGCGGTCTTCCACCGTGCGTTTTTCAAAGCACTCTCTTTCGCGTACAATCACTGTTTGGAATCAACTTCCAGCAGCAGTATTTCCGAACCGATACGACAACATAACCTTCAACATAAGAGTATATTCCTTTTTAAAAGGCCGGCAGCACACCTGCAATGCCGTTGGTGTTGTGGGTGATCATGAGCTGCGGTAGTCACTTACCATCAGGTGAGCCACATGCTCATATGCTCCTGTGTTGTAAAAAAAACCTTGCTGGTTACTCTTGGTCATATATTATTCCATTTGCTTTTCTAATACAGTTCACTGAGTTACAAAGTTATTTCAACTAAGGATCCAGATAATTATAATAATGTAATTCATGTTACTTTGAAAAGTCATACATTCTCCTTTCAGGTTCTCAAAGTTGACTAGAAGTAATCCTTTCACTGGATAAATCCACCTGTGTAACTTGTCATTTCCTTTATAACCTGATATCTCTATTAAATTTAAATGTATAATAAACAAATAAATTTATTTGTATAAATTAAAATTAAAAATATTTAAATAACTTGCAATTTGATAAAAAGTATTTTTATTAACATATAATAAGATAGGTATATATATATATATATATAGACTATAGAAGTATATATATATATATATATATATATATATATATATATATATATATATATATATATATATATATATATATATATATATATATATATATTATATATATATATATATATATAATTATACAGTACTGTCATACCTACTTGTACAACAATTAGTCCATTACCTTAAGGTTGTCTTGAAAAGATTGCTCTCAGCAATAAGACCGCCTCACTGTACTTACTTGTAAATTGTCTCGCTTATTTCCTATATTGTATAATGCAAATAGAGTATACTCATTCATTCATATATATATATATTATCTAGTAGAATTTCCGTATTAAAGACTTCAATAGCACAGTATGTAAAATCAAACTTTATATTGTAAACAATCGGCTCATATTTTATAAGCACAAATCATTTAATAATACCATTTTCCATCCTAATTTCTTAAGTTTATGGACCGAAAAATTTCAAATAACTCATAATGATACATCGCTGGAAAAAATAATCTGGTATCCCGAATTTTTGTGGGTTTATAGAAAAAAAACAATGTACTTTAGGAACTCTTGTTTAAATGCACAATATATTGTCTGAGATTTTCTAAATCTTGTATAAACATATTTACCTTACTCTGCTGGCAAGCAGTTGGTTTTCTATATTCTACAAGCTATATGGTACTGCTCATGTCTATAGGCGACGGTTACCACTTTCCATCATTCTATTCTAAGTTGCATAAATATGTATATATTTTCGTTTTACATGAGGAAAGGTAACTGTTCAACATCATGATATGAAGTCGAAGGTATATATATATATATATATATATATATATATATATACCTCAAGAATTGAGCTATGAAATGTAAAACGAATTTTTCAAATCCGACTCATAGTTTCAACTCAACTCTCGTTAAAACAATCAAATCAACTCTTTCGGTTTTTTTTATGGATGATAATGGAATGGTAACCCGTCTACGCTATCGGTATACACTGGCGTGGCACCAGTGAGGAATGACAGACGAGGAAGAAAGCAGGTCAGATAGCCCATCCTGACGAATTCAACTAGAATTAAACACGATGGTTTCCAGGGGGGACCACGCGGAGGTCGACCTGTTAGGGTATATTGCTAGTAATGAAAATTTGAATTTTCAATTCAGAATAATGGTCTAAATTCAGTGTTTCAGTTTTTGCCAACCTGTCCCTTACACCCTGTATATAAAAGAAGTGTGAAGAATACCAGAGGGAGACATTGTACAAAAGCCGATTGCTTGGTTACCTCTGTCCCATTCGTGTTTTAACCGTGAAGCAGCTGTATTTGCATGGCTGTGTTTCAGTTTGAAGGGTGTTATATGGCGTGAATTTACTGGGTACAGAGGAATAACACCTGAGTCCTCAGGAATGGCAACGCATGGGGGGTATCATGGGCGAAACAGTATACTCTGTTATGTCCATGGTACTGCTGATGTCTATAGACGGTTACCACTTTTCATCAGGTGGGCCGTCAGCTCGTTTGCCATTCTTAAGTTGTATAAAGAAAAAAGTGTTTTAACTTCATTCCGTAATACGAGACAAGTTACCGAGTGATAAATACTTGCAATCACAGACTTTCCAAATTAATTTCCCAAATCCTTTGGCGGGGCGCTATTTTTTTTCTTCTGCGACCAGATTGCCTTCATAGACAATTACGCGTGAAATTATTTGATTGATACTGGAGTTTCCCCTGAAACGGGCAAGGTCCGCGGACACTTGAAAATAATCATTTTTACACAAAGACCGAAATACATTCATTTAAACAAATGACTCCACGGGCCGCTTTCCATTCTTCGCGTTATTGCTTTTTTTTTTTAGGAAACAAAAATTAATGAATGACGAATTATTATCTTGGTGGACTCTTAAATGTATTCTTAGGATAATTAAGTATGATCATTTGAATTTGATGAAAAATAATCATCGTCATCACGGATGTCTATATATGTATGCATGTATATAGTATATAGAGGCATAACACCTTCGAGACGACACAATACGTGTATATTAGGGAAAGAAAGGAGCTTGTTAGTTTATATATTTTGTTTTTGTTTTTTTTGTGCTTTTTATTTTCATTCTTTTATCTCTTTTATTGTGTATTATGTGTATGTTTTTTTATTATAATTTGTGTGCAAGTAATGTAAATAAATTATCTACCTATCTATTCTCTTATGACCATTACCGTTCATGTCTATAGGCGATGGTTGCAGCTTTTAATCAGGAGGGCAGCTTGTTTGCAATTCTAAATTGCACAAAAAAGCAAGGTAAAATTATATTACACATTAAACGCTGGAATGCCTTTGACATTAAATCTATTAAAAACAGATCCACCATTTAATATAAGTTACGGTTTCACTTCCTAAAAAACTTGCAACACATTTATTTTTAAATAACTTTCTTTTTTCTCTTTATTCCTTTCTTTTATATATATATATATATATATATATATATATATACATAGGCTACGGTAACCGCTTACCATATTTATTTATTTATTTCTTATTACATTCCATAATATAATTAGTAGATAACATTTCAATTATGGACCCTGTTGGGCACAGCGAGTACGAGAGAGGAGGACAACACTTCTTTCACTTTAGAAATATTCTAAGGATCTGTTACAATATTATCCAGTCATTGATATTGTATCACGATAGCTACGTATTCTCTTATTATTATTATTATTCATTATTTAAGTATTGGTGTGTATCTATTCGTATCGTAATTGTTATTAGTATTATATAGTTATTTAATATATTCTGTAGTTTATAATTATTTATATTCACATTGTAAAATTAATTAATAAATAGTTTAATAATAAAATTTTTAAAATGTCATTTTTAGCTATGTCTTGAATCATTATCAATTCATAATTAGTTATTTGTTTATAAATTACAAGATAAATTCATAACATGGTATGCTTGTTTGCCACCTCAGGGGTATAAAAAAAAATGTATCTATGTATGTAAGTATATTATTTATGTATTATTATTATTTACATATGTAAGTGTATACAGTTATTTTTTGTTGTATTATATGTTCAGATATTATTGAGTTTATCTTAATTGTACCCTTGTACATTCTATAGTTTTCTTTCAGCTTCTCAAAGGTTGTTTGTAAGAGATCCCTTCATGGGATAAGTCCGCCATTGTATATTAAATCTTTTAATGTGTCCAATATAAATTATGTACAATAAAAATTTTAGAATATAATACAATAATTTTGGGTCATAATTACGGTTAAAAACTCCACCGCAAAAGTAAGTTTGTTTTAAGAGGTTTTTTTTTTTGATAATTTATCAAAAACGGTGTTCGTTTGAAATGCCGTTTTATTTTTCTTTTATATTCGCGTATAGCTTTTTATTACCATTTTATTTTCCTGTGATTTCAGAATTTTCCTTTCACAATCTCCGGAGGTAAGGGAGAAACGTTCATTTTTAACATTTTTTTATCGTAACTAAAAAAGTAGGTAATATAAAAATAAATAGAAATCAATTTTTAAAGATACAAATATATTTTTACCACAGGGAGACTTTGTACAAAAGTCGATTGCTTGGGTACCTCTGTCCTATTCGTGTTTCTACCGTGAAGCAGTTGTGTTTGCATGGCTGTGTTTCGGTTTGAAGGGTGCTATATGGCGTGAATTTACAGGGTACAAAGCAATAACAACTGAGTCCTCAGGAATGGCAATGCATGGGGGGTATCATGGGCGAAACAGTATACTCTGTTACGTCCATGCTACTGCTCATGTCTATAGGCGACGGTTACCACTTTCCATCTGGTGGGCCGTCAGTTTGTTTGCCACTCTAAGTTGTATAAAAAAAATACAAATAAAGACCTTTTATACGATATCCCACTTGTACTAGTAAGTCCATTTTGAAATTTGAAGTATACCTTTGTCCCCCCCCCCCCCCAACCAAATAAAATGAAAATACTTTTTTATTTTCGAAGGGTCACAAATAAAATTGTACCATAAGAGACAGATGATCGAAATTGCAAATATAAGACTTTCTTTGTAGCTTCATGTTATGGAACCCTAAATACTGATGCATAGAAGCCAATGCAAAATAATTGGGATTAATTGAAAATCATCTTTTACAAGTAGATGAAGCTTAAAAATTAACAAACAGCAAGTAACAACTGAAAACCGAAAATATATAAATAATGTAATATATTTATTGATTATTGAAAAAGAAAATAAAAAAACATAAAATAAAAGAGAGGTACAAATAAAACAAAGGGAGAAGAGAAAACAGAAGGAGTGAATAGAAAATGGAAGGAGAGATTCAGACGATTACAAAGGCAGTGCCGTGACGGATCGGATCCAGTCCCTCATGAGCGGGATGTTGCTGTAGACTCCAGGCTGGTTTTGAACAGCGCAGCCTACTCCAAATGACACCAGACCCACCAACTTACCGTTCACGACCGCTGGCCCACCAGAATCACCCTGACGATGGAGAAAAATTAATTATAATAAAATTCATCTTTATTCAAATAGACTTGTTTACAAGCACTTTTAAATCGTATTTTAAATCTATCGCAAGGTTTGAAAAGTTATTATCTATTGAGAAGAGTCCGCAAGAAACTCGACAGTTACTCGTTTAAGATAATCACTTAAGTAAAAGCTTGACCATGACGTGACCTGGCCATATTTAGAACTAACAAAATTTTTCATCGTGCCTCCCACCAAATTGTTTATAATTACTCCTCTCCATCCAAAGGTTGCCTGGAAGAGATCGCTCTTAGCGATAAGGTCGCCCATTGTTTTCTCACTATGATCATTTCTTGTAATTATTTATATTTATAATAAGTTTACTACTGTAATCTTTTGGCGGAAACAATGAAGAGTATCTATCTATCTATACTGTACTAGCTTTAAACTGCAAATTCTTCCGCATGAATGGGATATGTTGATTTTAAATGTATACATGTACATATATAAATAATAATAATACATACATAAATAATAGAAATTTAACATAAATAATCGAGTTTCTTGCCCGTTTATTCTGGAATAAAACATCTTATTGAAATGGATGGTAAAGTGAAAACTAATTTATCAACTTGTTGAATTAAATAGTAAGTTAAAAAATTAATGTACATAAATGACTATATATTTTATTCACATTATAAATGTGAAAGTGAGTTTGTAATATTCTGATCATGTGGATGAAGTCGCTGGGTCCTCAGAAATGGCAACGCATGGGGGGTATCATGGGCGAAAAAGTGTATTCTGTTGTGCCCATGGTACTGCTCATATTTATAGGCGACGGTTGCCACTTTCCATCAGGTGAGCCGTCGGCTTGTTTGCCATTCTAAGTTGTATAAAAAAATTTCAAGAAATATTAAAAAAGTTTTTGGCAATCCAGTAAATTCAAAATTTTGCTTAATTCTTTCTTTATTTTCATCACCTTTTTAATGCCCCTTTTTTTATTTAATTCTTTATTAAATTCACTATAAATAGATTTGAAACAACAAAGTGAATGCAATACAAAAGATATAATTATGCAAACCTGACAAGAATCCTTCGTGCCGTTTTTTAGGCCGGCGCAGAACATTCTGGGCGTTATGTTGTGGTAGTTCTTATTTGGTAGCTTTCGGCACACCTCAAATGGTATTATAGGTACGAAGACTCTACGTACCACATCTTCCATCTTTCCTTGCTGAAATTCAAGTAGAGGAATAATATAAGTTATGGTCCTTTTAATCTTTCCATCTGGACGAGTGGCGGTCGTCCACCGTGCGTTTTTCAAGGCACTTTCTCCCACGCACAACCACTCTTTGGAATCAACTTCCAGCAGCAGTATTTCCGAACCGATACGACAACATAACCTTCAAGAAAAGAGCATATTCCTTTTTAAAAGGCCGGCAGCACACCTGCAATGCCGCAGGTGTTGTGGGTGACCATGGGCGGCGGTAGTCACTTACCATCAACACAGTTTGCCCCTGTGTTGTAAAAAAAAAATATTCCTCGCCACCCCATCAACACCAACTTAGGATTACACCAAACTGTTGCTAGAATTTATTCCCTTTATAACGAATTCAATGCAAAAATAAAGGACCTCAATATTTTCCATGATTCATACCTTCAAGTATAAACTATTATTTCACGTGAAAAGTCGTCACACAATCTAAGCGTCTTCATTCTCTCCTTTTCAATATTTTATTTTAATCTAAGAACATTTCGTCCCCAACGGTTGTCACTTCTTCGAACTATGTGACTAGCCCACTGCCACTTCAGCTTGCTTATTCTTCAAACTGTGTTGGTCACTTTAGTTCTTCTGCGGATATTCTCATTTAGGATTCTCTCAGGCAAAGACACTCCAAACATTGTCATATTAAAAGTCAGTACTTACTTTATATTTTGTATGGCCCCAGCCACTGACAGCAGCCATAGCACCGGGAACTGTATCCTCAAGTGATCCGATAGCTATTGGTCGGGAATTAGGAGTTATCGGGATTGGAGTCTCCAGGAGTAGAAGCTGGTAATCGAAATCATGGAAATGGGCATTATTGCTATTGTTCCACATGGGGTGGATGAAGTGGGCGCAGATTCTGTATGGGATAGTTTGGCTGCGGTATGTTGATCCTGCATACACGTACTGTTCTTTGTCTCTGTATAATAAAATGTAAGTTTAAAGTTTCTGATAATGTTTGGATGTTTGTTACTCAATCACACTTGAACTGCTGAGCGGATTTGAATGGAATTTGTTACATGAATAGGTTGTATCCTAACTTAAGATAGGATATTTTATATACCAACTCATACGAGCAAAACTCCGGGAACCAGCTAGTACTAAAATAAAAATAAATACCATTGAACGTTTTATATAACGCCATCTAGTCTCAAGCACTCCAGAACTTGTAATATATAATATATACATATAATACATAGTAAATAGCTAGATCAGTACAAACATATATACTCAAACATAAATTATATTGTCTGTGATTCGAACCCGCAACTATCAGAAGATAAAAACACCATACCATGAAGGATTTCAAAAAACCATAAATAAAATTTTAAAGTTTTAAAATTGTTAATATTGATATGAAAACTAGACTCTTCACCAAACTGCACCTCTCCATTCGTCGTGATCATCATCATATGAACCAGTAACTGTCCACTGCTTAACATAATAGGCCTTCCTCATAAAGGCGGTTTGTCACAAAGTTGACAGCAGACCAAAAATTGGCACACTTGTCAGGTGGATTGGCAACCGCAGTTAAGCTTTTAGTGATGTTTTAAAAGGGACGCTGTTTCCCATTTCTCGACCATTTCCATTTCTCGACAATTACCTTAGTCGCCTTTTACAATACTCACAGGAAACGAAGGGGTGGTCCATTCTATTCCAGGGTCACTCTCCATTACAAGAATTGATTATATTCTGTAACATATTGCAATAATAATAACCTGCAATGCGCTGCTGTCATAACCCACTCAGGAGCTATGAGCGTTCCCCCGCAGTACTTCCCATACATCACTTGGTAAGGGACCTCCGTAATAGACACCTGCTTACCGCCTACAATTCGCCATTGCAGCTGAAAAAAGTAATTAAAAGTACCTATCTCGTGAAAATACAGTAATCATTAATAACAGGGAGATTTCTTCATTTTTTCATAACACAGAAGGCAAACGGGCGTGCAGCTTCCCTGGTGACTAACTACCCCCGCCTATAATCACCCGCAACACTGGAGGAATTGCAGGTGAGGTGTTGTTTTTTAAAAAGGATTTTGTTCTTTTCCTGAAGAGCACGTATTGAGGTTGACCTAACAGAGTTTGCTAGTCGCTAATCCAGATTACTAACAAAACCTTTTCCTCATTCCCAAGGGATTTAAGGCTGAGTTTAAGAGGTTTCTGGCGCTGACCGAATCATACAAAGCTAATCTTATTTTTAAAACTTATACCTGTTCATTAATGCTGTAATGCTGCACGCTTTGTCCTCTGGTGTAACGCACTACATACGTTTCGACAAGGCCCGAGTAAGAGCTCCTTAGCAAGAGAGTAGCTGTTTACTCCTGTCTGTGACTACTGTACCATGGCTTTCCTCGTGTATCGTTACATTCCAGAGGACTATAGTGTTTGTTAGTTTGTATAAGCTTTATCGAATATTCACATTATGCCCTCTGTATCCTGTAATTTCACTACCATATCCCAACCTTAAAACGTAAATATAACCGTACAAGCACCTGTACTTCAAGCAGAAACATGACTGTTTTCAGATACGCCCACAGCAATTTCTTCTATTATTCTTTTAAGCGTGATGCTTTTAAAATTATTACCGGAATGGTTGGTGCAGAGTTTTCGCTGTTGTCATCATGATAATTGAAATGATCCGGACTCTTCGCTTCATGATGGTACTGATAGTTCCTTGGAGGGATCCTTCTTGTAATATACATCCGCTGGTAACTGGCGATGCAGCCCGGAGACAGGAAGCCTGTGTAATTGCCTGCTCACCAAAACGAATTGCATGATAGACATGGAGTAAATGGAAAAAAGAAATATTCCACCTACAAAATTCTAAGCTTGAAGTTGTAGTCCAAAAACGATAGGAAGGGCCAGATTAAATTACTTAGCTAAAAATTTAAGAAAACACATACAATGGAACATAAAAATATAAATGAAGTATCTACTCGTATTTTTGACAATCATAATAAAATAATAAGTATACTTAAGAAAAAAAAATAACTTAATAACTAAAATACATTTTAATGTCCGTGTGATCTCGGCATAGATCAGGTAATCTCTTACTTTCCAGAGGATGTCATAAGAGGCGACTAATAGAGGGCGAGAGATGGGTAGCAGCGTCCCTCTTAAAATATCTCTAAAGTCTGACTGTGCTTGCCAATCCGCCTGCTAAGCGTGGCAACGACTGTCAAAACTCCTCAAGGGGAAAGCTTTTCTTCAGCATTGGACAGTTAAAAGCTAATATGATAAACACAAAAAAATACCTTTTTTTAAATAGATAATTAAATTAATCACATACCATAATTAGCTGATACCACACCAACGGCCGCCCAAAATATAAGAAAAACTGTAGGCATTCTATAGGTCCACTAAAATTACCAGCATAGTTGTCGGACACTAATGCACTCGCTTGCATCGAGTACAATCTCTTCATGCATGTGTCGCATAACGAATCACCTTCACGCTTGCTTACTGGAGGCATGATTGAAAACTAAAATGTATTCTTAATTATTGTTTCAAACGTTATTTAGATCGTTTTGCCGTGTTATACCATACACGTATTTACTGCATCTTTGTTGCATGCGATAAGACGATAACTTTGTTGTTAGTTTTAACTAACATTTCAATTTACAACTGCGAAATATTCTTTGGTATTTAACTGAAAAATTTCAGTTTAATTATTTTATATTAGATACCCGATATCTTTACCAATTCTAAACTGATTTTGTATATTTGATAATTATGAAATAATTTAAAAAAAAAAGGTGGTACTCAATACGATTGTATTTTTTTATGTTTTTTTTACCTCAAAACTCCATCAGTGTGCATATATAGCAACAGCTGTAGCGGCTCTTATTGCCAGCAAAATTAATGGTTTTTTTTTTCTTATTATTGTTGATTTTTTAAATATTAATAATTAATGGTAATAAAGATTATTATATATAGAAAGAGAAAATTTAATTATCCGAAAGAACATACTTACAGATTGGTTGTACCATAGAAATATTATCAAAATCGATTCAGCAATTTAGTTTTTAAAATAAAATAACTGGTTGTTCCACAATTGAAGTCGGTTTTGTTTGTGAAATACAATCTCAATTATTGGTTTTTAAAAGAGTAATCTCTCAGTTCAGTTATTTTATATTATGCAAAATCTTCACCAATTCTGAATTGATATTGTATTCTGATATTTTTTTATTGCATGATAATGAAATGGTGGAGTTCAGTTGATTTGGTAAAGTGTTAAAAGCTTCTTCTGCATCCTTCCAAGCCTAACATATGCATGCCAAACATGGACCTATACTGAAGAAATAGAGAACAAAATCTAATCATGTCAGCAGGCGATAGAAAAAAACACACATATTAGCAAGAAAACCAAAATAACAGATGCCCTTCAGTATAGTATGAAACAGAAGTGGAGATGGGCAGGTCATATAGTGAGGTACAAAGATAAAAGGTGGACTCTCCAAACAACAAAATAGCGAGGTCCAGCAGGAAAAAGAAGTGTTGGAAGGCAAAGAAAGAGATGGGCTGATGACATAATAAAGACACCAGGAAAAAATTGGACAAATATTGCTACAGATAAGGAGAAGTGGTAAAAGATGGAGGAGGCTTTTACCCTTGGGGACCACTGAAGTGGAGAAAAAGCTATAAAAAAATAATAAAATGGAATGGTGTGCCTGTGCTATCAGTATACGCTAGCGGGACACCAGTGAGCGATGATAGTTGAAGCAGGACCTTCGTTTTTGAATGGTTTGATGAATTCATCAAATATTAACCACAATGGTTTCCCGGGGGGGGTAGGGCACGTAGAAGTCCAGCTGCTAGAGTATATTGCTAGTAATGAAATAGTTATAGGAATAGAGTCTCCGATTGGAGACGACAAAACTTAGTCCAGTTTAACCCCGTTAAGACACAAGCTTGCGCGTTTACCGCTATGAAAACCCCATTTGCTGTGGCTCCACAGTTCCAAGGCACGTTTCTTAACATCTCTAAAAGCATTTGGGATCCTTGGTGTCGACACCTCTGGTGATGTACAATTCCGTGGCCACCTCGAAGATAAGATGAAGCTGGCATCCAAAAAACTCGGTATGCTCAATAGATCGAAGCATTACTTCACGCTGGATCAGCAATTAATTCTGTACAAATCGCAAATCCGGCCCCACATGAAGTATTGCTGTCACTTATGGGCTGGAGTACCTAAATACCAGCTTAAATTTTTTCGACTCGTTGCAACGACGAGCTATGAGAATTGTCGATGATCCCAGGCTCACAAACGGTATCGAACCCTTAAGCCTTAGGAGAGATTTTGCCTCACTCTGCGTTTTCTACCGCTTATACAACGGATTGTGCTCAGAGGAATTGTTCAATATGATGCTCACAGCCACTCTCTACCATCGTACGGCTCGCCATCGACAGGGAGTTCATCCTCATGTCCTACAGCCTCAATGGTCGCGTACTGCGCGGTTTCAGAGATGTTTTCTCCCACGAACACTCAGGTTGTGGAATGAGCTCCCTGCCGAGGTTTTCCCAAGAGACTACATCATGGGGTTCTTCAAAAGGGAGATAAAGAAGTTTCTTCAGGGTCGGCAACGCACGTGTAATACCTCTGGTATTACAGGTGTTCATAGGTTACGTTAACCACTTACCATCAGACCCCATTACTAACAATCTCTTTCCCCGCTACTTTTTTCAACTAATTTAACAATTAGCTGACAAAATTTTGACCCGTTTTTGTGACTCGATATTCTATCTATATAAGATATCAGATGAAAAAGCGCAATTCACACAGTGTTGAGAGTAACAGAAATATTTCATGCAACTTGTTGAAAAATCAATTTCTGTCCGACCCTCTCAACTACATGAAAAGATAGTAAATTCCGCGCGCAGAACTGGAGGGGCTGGGCCCCTATCTCAGTTATTTGCAGATAAGCACCGTACCCCAATAAAGTACCGCACTTTTGTCTGACAAAACGTCCAAAAACTATAATATGCTAATTTCAGTCGGTTTACTTTGTCGCATGTTGGACGGGAATTATGGTTTTGTCTATTGTACTATGTAAACTTTGATTATATAGATATAACCTCGTGTCTCAAAAATGGGTCAACTATTTGTCAGCTAATTGTCAAATCAGCTGACTCGTTTTTTTATCAGTGTTCTATATACTTACGCACATAATGTACTTTGACGTATCTATATTTATTTTATTTAATAAATAAAATGAGTTTTTACGCATTAAAAACATACAAAAAATATAAAATAAATATAGAAGTTATAAAGGAAACGCTCATAACTATTTATCAACTTCCAGCAGCAGTATTTCCGAACCGATACGACAACATAACCTTCAAGAAAAGAGTATATTCCTTTTTAAAAGGTCGGCAGCACACCTGCAATGCCGCTGGTGTTGTGGGTGATCATGGGCGGCGGTAGTCACTTACCATCAGGTGAGCCGCATGCTCGTTTGCCCCGTGTTGTAAAAAAAAAAAAACGCAAAATTGTATGAAAAAGTTGAGCCGCTTTTCTTGAAGCATTTGTATGGAGACACTCTATCTATATAATCTAAGTATGTAAATTATATTTTACATTATTTATATTTTCTACTAGAGGAAGACTTTGTACAAAAATCGATTGATTGGGTACCTCTCTCCTATTCGTGTTTCTACCGTGAAGCATGCATGCATGGCTGTGTTTCGGTTTGAAGGGTGGTATATGGCGTGATTTACTGGGTACAGAGGAATAACACCTGAGTCCTCAGGAATAGCAACGCATGGGGGTATCATGGGTGAAACAGTATACTCTGTTATGTCCATGGCACTGCTCATGTCTATAGGCGATGGTTACCACTTTCTATCAGGTGGGCTGTCAGCTTGTTTGCCATTCTAAGTTGTATAATAAAAAAAAAATATTTATATTTAATAGTTTATTAGAAGGAGACTTTGTACAAAAGTCATCTGAATGGTACCTCTGTCCCGTTCGTGTTTCTGTTATGAAGTACCTGACTTTGCACAACTGTGTTTCGATTCTAAAAAGCGATACGGAAATTACAGGGTATGCAGACATAACCTCTCAGTCCTTAGGAATGAAGACACGTGAAGAGTACCATGTGTATTTCAATATATTTTGCAATATTTGTGGTGCTGTTCATGTCTATAGACGACGGTTACCACTTTCCATCAGGTGGGCCGTCAGTTTATTTGCTAGTCTAAAAAGTATCTTAAAAAAAATTTGGTGGGTAAAACTAGACGTAACATAGTCTCGCTGTATTACCTGCCTGAAAATGGATTATGCCGTTTATGGAATACTCTCTCTGCTCTCGAATTATCCAGTTAAAACCGTTTGAGAAATTTTCAATTGGTTTCTTTTTTTTTTGTGGCTACGTTTCATATTTACGGCACCAATTCGAAGTCGATTTTAATAATTCTTTTTCTAATCAGCCTGTTTTACTCCCTTCTTGATCTCATATTTTTTATTTATTTTTATTTTATTTATACTTTATTGACCACGTTACAAAAAAAAAATGTCTGGTACAAAAGGCGGACTTAATACTATATAGCATTCTCTCGCAGTCAACCTTTGGCCAAAACAGAAATTTTAATATGCGGTGAAAAAAATTACAACACATACAACAAAGATTATATAAATATACATACATGAACACATTAAACATACATGAATATATTAATTATGTTACAATTGTAGCTGCCGTTTAACTTTGAAAAATCATGGTCACAGGAAATCAAAAACTTGTAAACAAACGATTCTGTGTTCTAAATTAAGTTCTAATTAAGAAACTTTATTTAGCAAAGCAAAAAGGACATACACGATCGTACCCATAGGCACACGCACACACGCAAACACGCATGCACATATAGAACAAAAAACAAACAAAATAAACAAAAACACACACATATACAAACACGTACACACACACGCGCACGCACACGCACACCTACACGCGCACGCACACGCACACGCACACGCACACGCACACGCACACGCGCACGCACACGCGCGCACACTCGCGCGCACACACGCACACGCACACGCACACTCGCGCACACACGCGCACACACGCGCACACACACACACACACACACAAAATCGCTAGTTCGGATTATTTTTAATAGATGGCGTTGTAATTAAAGGTGATATGAATTACACTGAGTCATCTAGTTTGAAATAGAATTTAATTTTTTTTTATATTATATGTTATATTTATATCATTATAAGCTCTCGTATGGTAGAATGGAAACAATTACGAACACACAGACACCTACGATAACAACAGATTAAAATTATGTACTATAAAGTTTAAAGTTGTTAAACTGGGTGTGCGTATCTTTATGTTTATTGAATCCTCTACACTGTAACACGTGATTCAAGTACAAATTACTTGTTTAATTTTGATAATGAACAAAATTATAGTTGTGATTTCTCCAATCGCCTATTCCTAGTTTTTACCTG